ATCTCCCCGGCCCCAAAAACTTTTACTATACACTTGTGAAAGACAAATAGTACCAGTATATTATGAAAATAGTTGGTCTTTGGAGATCACTCCCAGAGTGACCAGATCAGTTTGATTTGTAACTGAGAAACACAGCTGTAATTTGTCATCAAACATAATTAATAACAACTAAATTCTAGGCTGTTTCTGCTTTAACTCCTAAGCATAATGTTTATGCTTAACCATTTTATTTCTATAAGTAAAACAATGTATGTATACTTAAAAATAGAGGATTACTGCGGAAGGTTTTCTTAAGTATTTCTTTACATCTTTTTAAGCATTTAAATTATAGATTAGGCAAGGGGTTGTTTTAAACATTGCCAAGAATATTACATTCCCTGACGGTTCTATCAACCAAATTTGTTTGTAAAGAAAATCATTTCATGCTGAATTAACATGACATTTTGCACACTAGTATTACTCTGGCTCTTCAATTTATTTATGAGACAAAGTCTCACTAAGTAGGTGCAGCCTAGCCTCGAACTCAGTCTCCTGAGTGCTGCGATTACACGAGTGCCCAACCTGACTGGCTAAATTCCTTCTTTATTTTTTATTTTTGTTTTGGCGGAACCGAGGATTGAACTCAGGCCCTTGCGCTTGCCAGGGAAGCGCTTATTCCACTGAGCCATCTCCCCAGCCCGCTACATTCCTTCTTACATAAACTTTAGTATTAATGCTGCAACAGATTCCAAAAATTAATTTTTTCAGTAGTTTGAAGAAAACAATTTTTAAGGAATGGGGCCAGAACCAAGGATTTCCTGCATGTAGTTCTACCACTAATTATATTCCCAGAGTACAAATAAATTTTTTAAATGACAAAAAGTAATGCCTTTTTTCTACCTATATTTTAACACATGCTTCCAATCTGTCCGCATATTGCTCTCTTTCTTTCCTTCCAAATTGATAAGCTGTTCAAGGATACAGGTTAAATATCTCAAACCTTAAAATACGGTATCTGAAATACTCCTTAGTACTTTAGATACCAAATATTCCAAGTTTATTAGATACTCCAATTTACTGAGATGAGATTTTTCTATTTCAAATTTTACAATGAACTTTGACAAAATACACAGGTTCTGGGGGAAGGGTTCATGAAAATGTCTTGGTTCCATTCCAGAACACCCCCCACCCCCGCCACTTAACAACTGCACTGTACAGCAAAAGTTCTGATGACCTCTTCTCAAATTAAGAAAAATGGGGCTGTGGATATGGCTCAGCAGCATAAGCACTTAACTGGCAAGCACAAAGTCCAGAGTTCCATTCCTGGTACAACAACAACAAAAAAGGAAGAAGAAGAAGAAGAAGAAAAAAATTATAAAGTCAAGGAATGCATACTTAGGAGTAAAGAAGCAGACTTCTCCCAAATCCAGGCTATATACAGCTTACATATGAGTATTAGAAAAGTGCCAATGTTGGGCATTTGTTTTTCTTACTTGAAGCTATATCTGTATCTGCCAGAACTGAACTGAAATTAATAAAGTAGATTACAGATTTCCTCAACAGCTACACATAGCCTTAAGTTCCAATGAGGCACACATTTACATTTTCTTTCTTTCTTTTTTTTTACATTTACATTTTCAAAGATGCGCTCACTAACCTAAAAGACGAACAGTATTCACTCACATGATGTAGTATTACTATTATTATTACTATTTTAAATTTTTTTAGGTGGAACCAGGGATTGAACTCAGGCCCTTGTGCTTGTCAGGCAAGCACTTATTCTACTGAGCCATCTCCCCAGCCTTAATGCAATATTTTTTAAAAATCAAAAAAATGATAAGCCTTAGGGCTGGGGAGATAGCTCAGTGGCTTAGTGCCTTCCTGGCAAGCACAAGGTCCTGAGTTCAATCCCCAGTACCAAAAAACAAAAACAAAAACAAAAGACAAGCCTTACATTTCCATGCAATGAGAAACTGCATGAGCCACTCATTATTTTAGAGCTTTCAAAGTTCTTAAGAACACATCTAGGCAACCCTGTTCCCTTAACTAGAAATGAAGTTGGAAAGAGGTTCAGTTGCTAGTAGGTGCCAGTTTAGTGATAGCCAGACACAGATCCTCAACTTCAGACGCAGGGTCAAGGGCTGGTCTCATACATGTTCCCAATGAAGGCTTTTATAAAGCATGTCAAGTCTTGACCACAAAAATGTTTTGCATCTTTAAATGACAGTGATCTATAGTAAGTATGCTTATTTAATCTTTCATGCAAATTCCTTTGACAATGTAAATGTAAATAGCTAAAGGAGTACCCACCCACACTAATTAAATTCTAAAGGGGGAGATAATACCAAAGTACAGTACATCCTCTGGTACCTTAACATAGAACAGCAGTAGTGGTAATACTAGATCATCTCCTCAAGCCTTCATAACTATCATTCATCCAAATCAACCCATCACCACAATTACACTTGTACATTATATAAATTTTCATGTCTCAATTACACTAAAATCTCTAAGAATTCTCTTCACGAACTCGATGACTTCCCTCAAGAAAACAAAAAGGTATCATGTGTCCATTTTCTAAACAAAAAATTTTAAAACATTACTCTCTTAATGCCACTGTAAACTGTCAGTCATAATACCTTTCTGCCATTAATCTTAATTTTCTAAACCTCTTTCCTCTTCAATTTTTAACTCACTGAATAAACCTTGGGTAAAGCAACAAACCTGTTTCAAGCTTCTGCCTATGTAATAGAGCTTCACATCACATGGACAAGATCAAAAAAGAAATTTTAATTGTAATACATATATGAGAGTACTAAGGAACTGAGTTGGGCTGGAAAATGGCATTTAACTTTCTAAAAAAAACTGTTACCATGGCTGAGGGTGCAACTCTGGCACAGTACTTGTCCAATCCTGCCAGAGGCTCTTTGCTCAGATCCCCAGAATCACAAAACAAAAACAATAATCAAAACAAAAAACCCTTCAAAATTAAACCTGTACCTTCAAACTAAAGACTGTCATAATATCTACTCCAAACAAAGTATCTACAGGTTATGTTCAGTTTAAGTCCAAAAGTTCATGAAAAAAAATCTTCCACTAAGTTAAGTCTTATGTTTATAGAATTTTTGAAAGTTCTGACTACACAAGCTATTCTAAGTCTCTCAAAAGTTTTAACCACTGGATACTAAATGGCCTGAAATGCGCGCGCGCACACACACACACACACACAACCACTGACCCAAGAACTCTCAGTACTAATAATGTAAGGGAAAAAATTTATATTAATTCATCTCAATTAATGGCAAAGGAAATGGCAAAGGATAGCCATTAATTAATTCATCTTAATTAATTAATGGCTATCATTATGCTGCCTTTCATTCACTAAAACAACTGTCAAAAAATGTTTTAATTTCTCAGTATGCTGCTTTTTCTTTGGGACATTTGAAACACATAATATTACATTACATAGAGTAAAAAGGCTGCTCGCCATATGTTATACAATACCTATGGTTATATTATTCTAGACTTTAAACTTAAAATTGTTCTGTTAAATTTAGAGATACATGAAACATGTGTTCGTGATTTTGCCATAGTTGAACTGAATGAGTCTCGCCAACCAAACTAACTTCAAGACCCCTAACTAAAAACAATGCATGGAAAGGAGCGTAACATCCACAGCATTAGTTAGGTAACTATCTTATTTTCCAATGCCCATCCATGCAATACGAACTGAAACCCAGAGAAAGAATATGTATATTTATTATAGTCAGTGAACAGTATTCAAGCAGTGTTCCAAAGATTCAGGGCCCTCACTGCGCTGTCTGCTATTAGTAAAGCTGCTTTTTCTATGTAACTTAAGTCCGTGCCCTTCCGCTGCAGCAGTGGCGCTGCACATCCCCCACCCCCGCGGCCACTTCCGTGTTTACACTCCTCTTCCCTCCAATTCCATGCGTACAATGTCAGCTCCACTCCCGCCCAATCTTCATTGGCCCAGCGAGGACCCATGGTCCCGCCCCCAGAAATCAACGTTCTTATTTAGAACATCTCCGAGAGCAGATTGGAACCGTGCGCCTGTCAATCCCGCGCATTCTGTCCTCTCCTAGGCGCTTCCGCTGTGGTGGGAGGTTTGGGGGAGGGGAAAGGGGGCAATTCCGTGCTGAGACTTCCCAGGGGCCAAGACGCCCGCCCGCCCCACTCCTTCACATCCACCCGCTGTTTACAAAAAGGCACTTGCTTTTCTCTGCCCCTGACGCTCCAGGTCAGGGGTACGAAATACACTCAGTGTCCTTCCCATTCTCCCCCTGAAACAACACCCACGAGGGAAGGGGCATAAATCTAGTTTCCTCACAGCCCCTCTCCGTTCGCTGCCGAGAGGAAGGCGGGCCGGGAGAAACGCCGTCCCGGGCGCCGGACACTCCGGAGTGACCCTTCCCGGGACCGTTACTCCGGAGGCGGTGTCCTGCGGGGCCAGGAGAGGGAGGGTCCGCGCGGGTTTTGGCGGGTATCGTTCGCCGGACATCGGCCGGGGCCGCCTCGTCCATGCGGAAGTCGCGGGCCGGTGGGTGCCGCGCGACCCTGGAGGAGCCCGCCGGCCGTGGCCAGAAGCGGCCTCTCCGGCCAGACAGCGTGGCAGGCGCCGCCGAGAGACAACAGCTCCAGTCACTTCCTGGTTCCTCGGCAACTGGGGCGAAGCGCGCAACTCGTCCGTCCTGAGTCCCCAACTTAACCACGGCTCCGCTCCGGCACTCGCTGCCAGCGCTCCGCCCGGCAGCCGCGCCGCGCCGCGCCCCGCGAGCCCACCCTGAAGCGACAGCGCCGGATCCGAGGCAGGTTACTCTCCAAGGTGATCACTTCCTGATTCGTCGCCTCCATTACTTCATTCACTCCCCCCTCTCCCGGCCGCCGGGTGCCTGTGGTGGACACGCACCCCTGCACTGACCGCTCGGGGGAGGCACCCCGCCTTCGGTGCACCCCCTCTCCCGCTACACCGATGCACAGGAGAAAAGTTGCCCTGTCCTTACCGGCCCGGATGAGCAGATCCAGCTGGTTCGTGGGTCCCTCATGCAGAGACGTCGCCATGTTTATCCCGGGGCTGGAGCTGCTGCTGCTGCTGCTTCACATTGACTTCCACCGTGAGCAGCGGCGGCGGGGGCGGAGGCGGAACCCGCGGCCGGGGACACGCGCCGTGCAGCGACACACACTCACGCACTCGCACACTCCGACGCCCGGATCCTTGCGCGTCCTCCGACAGGAAGCCGCGGCCGGCCCGCCTCCCGCCGCCGGGCTGAGAAACCCCACCACCTAACGGCAGGGGCGGCGGCGGCCCGGCTGGCGGCGCGATCCTTCCGCCCCGCGCCCAGACAGGAAGTCCCGACGCCGTGCGCCGACAGCGGCCGGCCGCAGGGACACCTGAGGCTGGGGAAGCCGGCCTTCGGCCCGCCTCAGCAGGAAGGGGTGCATTTCACGCTCTGCTGAAGCGAGGTCCGCGACGGTGCCCCTCTGGAAAAAGGCCATTAATCACGTTTTCTTCCCAGAAGCGATCTAATACCTATTCTCGCCGCTGTAAATAAAGGTGGCTTTCTTACTTATTTTGGCCTTTTCAGAGCTTATGCAACGTATAATCAGTTCACTTTAAAGAACAGCACTTTAAAATAGGAAAAACAAAAAGTCATACCTGGAGAATATTCCAGAGCATTACTTGGAAAGTAAGGAGATTCTAATGCTTTGCGAAACTGACTGCACTCCTTACAGGAGTAGTAAGCACACTAAACAGTTATACAGTAAATCTCAGAACTCACCAACCTCTGAGAGATTAGATTAGAGCCGTTTGCTAATCGTGAAATTCATGTACCTTTCACTTCCGTTTAGTGTATTCGTAAAATCATATCCATTTTATGTCACCTCCAAAAACTTTGCTAGGAACTAACCTTACAACAAAAATACTACCTAGTAAGATGGAACAGGGGCCAGGGAGATGGCTCAGTGGAATTAGCACTTCCCTAGCAAGCGCAAGGGCCTGAGTTCAATCCCCGGTTCTGCAAAAAAATAAAATGTAACAGAAGGGGTAATTTGCCAATTTAGTGTCTAAACTTTTTTTTTTAAAAAGTACTTTAAAAAAAATATTTATTTATTTATGGGGCGGGCAGCTCAGCCCACCAGGGGGCGGGCTGGCTGGCATATGGTGCTGGGGGATTGAACCACGGTCCCTGTGCTTTGCTAAGCTTGTTCAAAGGAGGTGCTTTAGACCACTGAGCCATCTCACCAGCCCTAGTGTCTAAATTTCTTGAAAATAGGAAATCAATGACATCGAGATGTCATTAAAACAAGAGAGTGCCCTTTTTTTAAGAAAAAAAATTACTGGAGATTGAAACAAGGATTCACATATGCTGGGCAAGCCCTCTACCACTGAGCTACATCACTAGCATGCCTCTCCCTTTTCTTTTTGAGGATTGAAATCGGCTTTTCGCTGAGCTACCTCCCTGATGCTTTTCCCATGTCTTATTTTGAGACAGGGCCTTGTGAAACCCGTCTCAGCATCCCAGAGTGCTCGAATTCTAAGTATGCACCACCACCACCACACCTGACTAGTATTTATTAATTTAAAAAGTATTTGAAACAATATGCTATCCTAAAGTTCTTTGTCAGAACATTTACATTAAACAATGCTTCCTACAAAAATGTATTTAATATTTGCTAAGTAAACAGCTTTGGCAGATAAACATTTAACAAAGTGACAAAAATTTTATGATGTGAATTTACAAACTGTGCGTACAATGTAGAGAAAAAAAAATCTGACCTCGCACCATGTGCATCCACCTGCCTCAGCCTCCTGAGTGCTGGCCCAGTTTAAGCAGCATCTTTAACAGCCTCCACATGGAGGATAAAGAATAGTTAAGTGGTAACTGTTGGCTTTAGGCCTATTATTGAAATTGATAACCTATCTGAATTTCCATTCTAGTCAGTTTCTCACATATATACTTAGAAGGAAAAACAGCAATATAAGCCAAAGGTTTATTTTCTGTGGAAGTGACAAGTCAATGCAGCTCAAGAAAAAAAAAATCATCTGTGTGAGAATAATCAATGTGAAGCCCGATGCAAACTTTTTATCTTACCTGTTTAAGACAGATCTTAGGAAGTGCAGTGTGTGTGTGTGTTACTGTGTACATCTGTATACACATGTATCTTATGTTCCTGTCTTCAATGCAATTTTTTTTTTTTTTTTTTTTTTTTTTGTATTTAGGACAGGATCTTCAGGGTATACAAGGTCTCACTGAGGAGATCAGACCTGTAGTGATCCTCCTGTTTACAGCCTCCCAAATTCTGGGATTACAGGTGTGCACCACCACATTTAGTCTCAATCGCTATCTCACCACGCCCAGGGAGCAGAGCTTGCATGGCAGGCCAGGGGATCAAACCCCTAACAGGCTGAGCTATGTGACCGGCCCTTCAGCGTAATTCTTGCTTGCTTTCAAAAGCCACTAATACTTTTAAGAGATCAACATTTCTATCCTGGGGATACAAGAAGGGGTAAGCTGCTATCTAATAGGGCTGGAGAGATAGCTTGGCAGCCTGGCAAGTACCAAGGACCCAGATTCGATTCCCAGTACCACAGAAGTTTATACTTTTTTGATACAGAAACTTAATTTGGAGGCTTAACCTGAATAGGGAAGATATTCAGTGGGTCCTTCTATTAAAAACCAAAACTAAACAGGAGCTGCTGTGGCATGCACCAGTATTCCCAGCTACCAGGGAGGCCTAGGAAGGAGCACTGCTTGACGTGAGTCCTGAATTCATGGCCAGCCTGGGTAATATGGTAGTGCTGATGAATAAATCCAGGGCCTCCTCACACATGCTAGGTAAGTACATCATAGTCCCCTGTATTTTTAACAACATGAATAAATACTAAACATAAAAATGTGGCAGGACTTAAATATGTATACATTTTTCTACACAGTATGATTCAAGTTATACAGTATACACGATATATACTACATATGTGTGTACTGTATGTACACGTGAACTCATCTGCATTTCTGTCAGGACTTCAAGATTAAGTGGTGGTGCATCCCTGTCATCTGAGCACTCGGCACCACATGCAGCACCAGCCTCACCCCTGGGTGCACTGAGCTAGCCACTAACACCAGGCATGGTGGTGCACGCCTGTAATCTCAGTGCTGGGGAGGCTGAAACAGGAGGATCACTACGAGTCTGTAGTGAGACCCTGTACCAAATACATAAAAAATAAGTAAAAATAAAGTACTTATAAGCAGAATTTTTTTTTAAATCAAAGCTGTTATGGCAGACACTTTCGAAAAATTAATATTCTGCTAATGACATTACAGAAAATATTCTCTACATCAAAGTTACTGATAAATGTCTATGTTAAATCATTACCCTCATTTTTTTGCTTCTTTTCCACCTGCCTGAAACAGATACTGCTGTTATGCTCATTTTATGTGAAGAGCTGAGGTGCTTTGTTTAAGGTAATAGTTACAGAAAGGCAGGGTCAGAATTTGAACCCAAACAGTCAGACCCATCTTTGAACCCAACACTCCCCAGGAGAGTAGCAGATCTGTGTACCTGCTATCATGAACTCAGTACCTGCAGATTTTCTCACCTACAAATTGTTTTATATTTCCCCCTTCAAAAAGTAAAGCTAAATTCCTTTTCTTCTCCCCCTTAAGTACAGGATGGACTTAGTTTCTCACTTTTATCAAAATAAAGGAGAAATGATGAGGTCATTTGGAGGACACCAAATGCTATGAAAAAGAAAAAAAAAAAAAGCAAAAGACAATGACCTACCAGTGAACATGTAACTAAGCTAACTAGGAAACACCAATGGTGGCCAACCTATGGCACACATGCGACAACAGGCATACAGAGCACTCTGTCAGCTAGGAGCAAAATCACCCCAGAAGCCAAGCACTGTGTAACAGCGCACAAAAGGAGCCACGTGCATGATCAGAGAGATGTAGCAGCAACTCATTAGCTGTGACTCTAAGATTTCACGTGACCCATCAAGTGTACCTCCAAGGACGTGTGTGTGTAATATATATATTTGCTTGGCCCAGCTGTGATTTTAGCAGAAACCCTTACAAAGTACGAAATGCACTCAGATGCTTTTTTCAGCACAGACTGAAAGGTGGGATCAGTGGAACGCTGCCCACCCTGGGCAATGCACTGGTGGGCAGCAAATTCAAGAGGAACTCCCCCTGAGAATCACTGCCAGAAAATGCTGATTCAGGAATATCCAGTTATTTAATGTTAACTAATTTGATATAGAAATAGATTTGTGTGCTTCCATTCTTTAAAAAATGTGGTGGTTTTTGGAGTCAAATCTTGAACACCAAAAAATTATTACAGAACAAAAAAAATAACTGAAAACATAGTGACACATCATTCCAAGAGGCCTGGACAGAGTCATGTGGAGTGACTGGACACAATGAGAAACCATTACATATCCCATGTAGTGAAAGTGTTATGTTGCATATTACGTGTCAGATGGCACTTCAACACCAACCACAAAGTGGTGTCAAACTCAGTGACACTAAAAGGGGAGTTTCATGAAGGGATACTGAGGAGATGACATTTCCACTATCTTAGTTTTTCCAACTATCTGTCTAAAACAAATCATTCAACAGCTGCCAGCTTTCAAATTTGTACATAAGCCCCTCTCTTTATAGGGATTTTACCAAAACAGCCATGTTGGTTTTCTTAAACTAAAACCTCAGTATTCAGGTTTAATTGCAGTACTGGCCCTTTAGGATAAGCAAGTGGGTTTTGAACTTCGGGTACTTGGTCTCACTGAAACTGACTCTCTGGCCCCGACTACACCATCAGATGACATAAGGCCTGGTTATCTGTTCCATAGTGCCATGACTGAACCCATGGCTTTATGCATGCCACCAAGCACGCTACAACTCTGGCCCTTTTTAAAAGTTATTTTGAGACAGGGTTTTTGCTAAGTTTCACAGGCTTGTGATCCTCTTTTCTTAGCCCCCTGAATATCAGGAATTATAGGCTTGGGTCATCACACTTGGCTTCTACTTACAGCTTTTTTTGTGGGGGGGGGCACGTTATTTTTGAGACAAAGTCTTACTATACATTCTAGTAGTCTTGAACTCACTGAGTAGTCCAAGCTGTCCTTGAACTCACGTTTCTCCCGCATCAGTCTCTCAAGTGCTGGATATCTGCAAATTTTGATTGTATTACTGATTTGTTTTAAGTATCCTTGAACTCTCGGCCACATATGTATTCATTTATTCAACAAATATGCAGTGCCTACTTTGAGCAAGTTTCTACTGTAGGTTCCTATTATTAGCAGCACTAAATGGTACAACCAAAACACAACAAGCCTTTCCATTCACACAGAATTCCTCATCAGGAGTGAAAGTCCTAGAGACAATATGATACACAAATTGCTTATACATGAAATTAAATACAGTAACGACTGTATGCTGCATTCTATAATACCACTATACAAAGTTATTTATATACACATAAACTATGTATGAATTCAAGGGGTTAGGTTAAGGGGGTACCCCTTAAATGGGGACAGTACCCCTGGGTACTGAACCCAGGACACCTTCACATTTAGGTATATCCCTACCTTTTTTTTTTTGGTTTTGGTTTTGGTTTTTTGTTTTGCGGAACCAGGGATTGAACTCAGGCCCTTGCACTGAGCTATCTCCCTGGCCCCCATTTTTATTTTGAGACAGGGTCTTACTACGTTGTTCAGTTGTCCAAACTGGGCTTAAACTTATGATCCTCCTGTCT